ACCATGGTGAAACATGGTTGTGGCAACATCTTGTGTGACTCTTTCGTTCAGTAACGACTAGGAAAACTGCTCAGAGTTCTTGGGAAGATGAATGACGTTAAATACTGGATAAACATGGAAGAAAAGCAAAAAAAAATAATTGAAGAGCTTCACCGCCCAACAGGAACAACAACCAGAACTTCCAGTGGAAAGGCTTAGAACAAAGCCCATTCGTTAAAAATCTGCAGAAAGGTTTTAGCGTGAAAGTACAGAGGGAGTAACGATACGTCTGCAAGGCACTGTAGCTTCAGAAACGAAGCTGGATCATTTCTGAAGTCACAATAATCTGAATCGTTTAAGTTTCCAGCAGATTTTTGGCCAGAATCAGTAAAACTGTGAACTATAAAAATGATCTCTGAGCACAATCCTCTCAGTAATCCCATGGACTGCGTATGCCTCCTTCGTGGCGACTCAATATGAAGATGTTGGCGACACGTTTGAAAACCTTTAATAGATTTTACTGCCATGCACTTTTTTCAACTCTGAAGACAATTTTACAACCCCAGACGTATTTTCCGGATGATATATCAAATTTCTGGCCTCAGCTGCTTCTTGATCACATAATGATGCTAAGAATCAATCCACATGGCCAGTATATTCTTACCCCAAAGCGTGTTGATTTTCTGCCAAAATAGCTGTGGACAAATGAAAAAGACGTCAATATTTACTTGTTGCCATAGAAGCAGGGAAGTACAAAATGCGCACACACACAAAAAGAGACGGAGCATGCAGAAAAGTTCATTTGCAAGTAATTTAAATGGTAAACGACATCATGTCAGTGTGACATTGAGCGTAATCTTGGAGAAATGAAAGAGCTGAACATGAACGTAGATTCATATTTGGAGCAGAAATGTTGAGAGAGCGCATGAGCTCACAAAGGGCCCGCGCCGACATGAAAGTCTCCCTGCGCAGAGTGGCAATAAAACCCACCCCAACATGCTGTGTGGCAGATTTCCTTTACATCACTCGTTTCTAGCCAAGCCCACAATATTTCCTGCACACGTAAGGGGCCCGGCGCGCCAAGAACATCAGTAGGTTTTTGAACATGAGTTTACCTTTATACAGGGCCCGTGTGAGACTCCTCATGGCTGTCTGGAGAGTTTACAGTCAGTGGGATAATACTCTGTCAGAGCCACACACACACATTTCCAAACAGCGGCAAAACGAAGACAGGAAAAGCATCTGATTGTCTGTGTCAAAATAACTCTGTCAAATAAACGGGGCTTGCTTGGACTGAAGCTCTTGTGCCTGCTCGGGTTTTTACGTGAGACAGAAACTGACTTCATCCCCACAACGCTCACCACAGTAGTTCCATCCATCCTGCTTCCCCGCCGGCCTGCCAGCCAAGTCCCGTTTCCTACCATTACTCCCAGCGACGAGCATACGGAAAAGGAGGAGGGGGAGGTCAAAGAGAGAGAGAGAGAGAGGGGGGGGTGGGTTGTATCAAATCAAACATTTGGTTGTTGCAAATGGAAAGAGGTAGAATGACAACCACATGCACGACGGCCCTCGGAGCTGAAGTCTCAAAGCTACTGTTCTGGGTTCGGTTTTACATTTCATTTCTTCCACATCAGCCCAGAAAACGGCAGAACCACAGATGTCAGATTTCGTTGGGTTGTTCCAGAGCTCTACACTTGTACTATGTTTCACTGAAACCGACTTTCCAGACTCGAATAGAGTGATGAGTACGCACAGGAGGTACGAGGAAAAAGCCACCGTTGTGTGATTGCGCCAACTTTACCTTTCGTGTCTTAATTTTCACAGCTTGTATGGCGCAGTTCACCCCTACATGAAGCTCTCCAACGGTTTTAAGCACCGATAGGATTTTTACTTCCACTGTTAGAATGCTAGGAGGCTCAACAAATCAAAGGAGGATTTGTCAGCTGGAGAGAGAAGCATATTTACAGTTTTAACCTTTTTTGTTTTTTCCACATTTTGAAAAACTTTACAACCTCCAGCATTAATGTGTTGAAATTGGATTTTATGTGATAGATCAGCATAAACAAGGAATATTTCCGAAGTGGAAGGAAAAGCGTGGACGGTTTTCAAAAAACGTTTTCTCTTAAAAGCGTGGCAATGCATTTATAGTCTGGGCAATTTCATTCTCCTAAAACTCCACTAAACCAAAATCCAGTGCAGTCGATAACTTTCACAAGTTGTCCTTTCGGTAAAGAGTCTAAATGCGTTTCGTTTAATCTCAGCATAAATCCAGCAGCTCTGCTGAAGCCGCTCAGGTTTGCTGGGTAAAATTAGTGAACAAACAGGAACCCAGTACTGATAACCAGAACTCACCGTGGATCCTGGTTTTAATGGGAGCGAGGTGAAATCCTGCCCTCAGCACACTAAACTCTGCAGGTCAGGCTTGTTTATTTGATTGAGTGTTTTTTTTTTTTTTTTAAGTAATAACCATTAGGCAGCTGTTAAGCATATCTTTCATTAAGCTCACATTATCTTTTTTTTTTATTGTTCTTATGTAATATTTTAATCTTAATTGTCCTGTCTATTTAGCTGTATGTAGGTTAATGTGTAATTAATCTGCATAATGTGTTTCATTTGGTTAACTGATTTACTGAAATTAAAGAAATTTTCAATAATATTCTAATTTATTGGATATTAATTTATCAGACTGGAATGGCATCAACTTGACCCAAATCGATGGTCACAGAAGCTAAGTGGGGTTGTGTGAAAGTTCAGAGCACAAATGCACACCACACTTTTCTCATTTTTATTTGTTAAAGAATAAAATAAATAAAAAAATGACGAATCCCCTTTTCACTTCACAATCATGCACCATTGTGAGCTTACTCCTCATAGATCCAAATATAACACAAAGACGTTTTTGTAAGGTGACGCAATCTTCAGGGCCGTGGTTACCGTTGGCAGAAAGGAAAAGCAGAAGAAGACACAGCAGCAAAATAAAAGGTAACGGCGCTCTGTAGAGCTGCTGATAATGAGACTTTTGTCTGAGCACCTGTGCTATGCTACATCCCACCCCCTCCTCCCCTCCGCTACCGAGCTAAACATTTGGCAGACAATTCGGGTTTGCCGCTCCCTCGGGGTATTCGGTGTCTGCTCTGTCAGTGAGGCCGAAGCCGTCGTTTGCCAGATGCACAGTTGCTTCGCTAATCACCCGGCAGAGATTTACGGCCCAGACAGAACAGGTAATTGTCTGTCTTGCTTCAGTAATAACTCTCAATGCAAAACCCAACTATTTTTGGCATGGAAACTGCAACAAATAGCTTCCACACCACTGCCAGAGGCTAAGAGGTGGCACCTTAAAAAAAAAAACAATGTTGTAATTGCACATTAGATGCTTCATCACAAGGAAAAATCAGATGCTAAAGTGAGCAACCTGTCTTTGTCTGCATCTCCAGGTTAACAAGACAAACACAGAGTTTGCGTTTGCATTACATTAGTTTGCTCTTTCAAATTTAAAATATGCTACTAGTTTAAAGTCACTGACAGGAGTTCTTTATGAACAGCGTGGCAATGATGCTACTAGTGACCGAGGTTGAATCAGAGGCTTTAAACTGTGCTCCCCTGTTTTCATCCAGATGTCCACCAGCCCACGTCTGTAATCACACAGTTGTAAAACGACTTTTTACAGCTCAAGTTGTTCATTAGAAGATAAATTTCCACAGCTGCTCTCCAATCTCCAGACATCAAACCTTCTCCACTTTGAGACAAGCTTCTTCGTGCCAATATCTCCGATGTGATCAACAGCATCGAGCTGCGACTTGCAGGCCGCGGCTCTCGTCCCTCCTCACTCGGAGGCGTGGGATTTGACGGAGCTGCCGTCGTTATTAATAGCTTCAAAGCACAGATGCGAAGATGAAAACAGCCCACACAGTGGCTTTGGCGTAAATATGGAAATGTCTCTGAGCATATACGCCAAGATCCTAAAACTCTCAATTTGACAATTGCAGCAGTAATCACGCTCAAAGCTGACGTTTCTGACAAAGAAGTCCTGGATGTTTGACTTAGGCACCGATGTTCACTGCCAGACGCTTGTTATTTCCTGTCAGACACTCAATAGATCATCACAAAATCTGCAAACAGAGCCTGAATTTGGGGGGCGAGGGGGGTGACATCAGCGGATCCACTCCCTCTGTAGCTGCAAACACTGAATTACCTCAGGAGAAAAGAATGGGCTCCAACATGGGTTGAGTGAAGCCGCATCCTACCACTTCTAACGCTCAGTCAACACTGTGTTTTTTCAAAAAGACTGAAGCAACCGAAAGACGGCATCCCACGCGGCAATCTCTGTTTGCCTTGGCGGCCTCGGCGTTTAGCTATCTTTTGTGCTGTAATCACATTTTTGGTGCTTTGGCTCCATTTTGCAGTTCATGTCGCGATCAAGACGGACCGAACCTGAGATTTTCCTTCTGGAGCCGGGCTAGGACTCAGCGAGTCACTTCCACAAAGGTTTGACCTCTTGCAGGGCGACCCCAGAAAGTGGGGCGGTACCACGGGCCTGGACAGTCATTCATCAAACCTGGAGCCCAGAGAACACGCTGCGGAGTGCAGATGCAACTTGCTTTCAGGCTTTTCCTCTCAACACCAACCCATTTCATGCTTCCTGAAATCCAACACCCGCTTATATTTAGCCTGTCCTCTCTGTGTTATACAAGTCCGACTGGGCCAACAAACACTCAAGACTTACGAGACACGACATTTAGCCGGTGTTGTATGAAGCATTACTCATGGTGACGAAATGAATCTACCTTGCCGTGTCTTTGTTGCAAAAAACAACAAAAAAAGCACTGCAGCCGCAAGTAATTAGGATGACGAGTACCTGAAGTGGAGGTCAGCTCTGAATAATCGTGCTGCACAGTCGAGTAATGATGCTGGAATGTTTTATTGTGAACAAGAAGTTGCCTGAAACCTTTCATCCAATTTAAAGTCAACTTGCCCAGCAGGGCAATCAAGAGTCAGCTGGAATAAAGGCCTTCTGTTGCGCAATGCGGGTCGTTAAGTTTTATGCCGTCGATGAGGTATTTTGTTGAGTCAAAACTACCACAATCCATCATGTTACTGGCAGCTACTGTGAAGCACAAATCTCTATGAACAAAGAGCAATATTAGCGAAGAACATGTAGTCATCAAAACAGTGGAAGATTATCTGAAATTAACCGGTCCGTGAAGATGTACAGCAACTTCCACCCAAACCCCAACTGTTGACATTTCTGCTAGAAATGTGTGAAAGGCCTTAAAATAGTTGATTAGGTTGGCAATCGCAGAATAAAAAAAACTCTTTATCAACTTCTTCCCCCCATCATTACCATCCTGCTTGAAGAATATTTAGGGAAGGCAAACATGAATTCTTGGTTGGTCCGATTTGTCACGGCTCCGGCTGCTCAGTTTTCAAAACATTGATTGTTGAAAACTGAGCGGCTGTTATTATGCGGGCTGAAAGTCCACAACACATTGGGAGACACACCATTTCTGCATAACTGAAATGAAGGTTGGGGTTCAAAGTCGGTGAAATCTGCGTGGTGTGCCTGAGCGAAGGATGTATGCAAAAGTGGCAGCGTTCCTTTGGAGGAGAGCAGAGAAGGTCAAGGACACCTGGGAACCTTACCAGATCCCCAGGTGTCCCAAATCAGTACTCAGTGCTGCAAATAAAAAAGGTTAAATGCCCAAACTAACCACAGGTGTCCTGCAGGGGTCGCAGCACAGCATGAGGCACATATTGACGACAGACAGTGCATTCCGAAGCATCTATATCCCTGAAACTTTTAATAACAGCCACAAACCTTTTGATTTACGTAGTGGGGGTTTGTGACACAAAGTGGGGGTTTGTAACACAAAGTCGTGCATAATGCTGAAGGAAAATAATACTTTGTATCTCAGCATTTATCTTTTTAACTATTAAAATCTGACGAGTGTTTTGTATTTGTATCCAGCCTCTCTGTGGCAACACTATGCAGAACCAAATACAGCTGCAAGTCTTGTAACACATGTCTCAATGCACCAAAAATCTGAAAACAAACAAAAAAAGAGTTCAAAGTTGAATCCTTACCCATTCATCTACTCCATGCTGCTTAATGCTAGCCACAAACAGAAGTGATAAATATGAAATATACCGCTGTCAGAATATATCCTAGTGAGGAAGGTATACCACTAGTATGTAAACGGATGCATTAATGCGCTCATGTAAGTCATGTAGACAGCTATCAAGCTTAGTGATTGTCAGGATTTATGTATGTTTTTTCATAAGTAAACAACAATTATCCCACATCACCAGTGAAAATATTCGGATACATACATTTTATTCCTATGTGTACACGCTTTCAAAATCACTGTTTAAGGGCAAGGAAGCTGAACTAATTTCCTTTAAATCTGCATCATAGAAACTGTTCGAATGCCCCACTTCTGTACGTTAATGTTTTGAATCTCAGGTAAGATTGAGTGGACACGAATGTAGCCTCGCAACCTTGAGCTGCAGCTGTCTGCAGCATGAGAGCAACATTAAGATTATTTGTTTGTTCCCATGAATCACAACTCTTTAATCCATTTTTTACAACCCTTTCTGGAAGCTAGATCAAGTGTACCAGGAAGACTTACAAAAAAAATAAATAAAAAGTAGTTGCTTTTTTTCTACAACTGTTATCATATGTTAAAAAGGACTGATTTCATCTGCGTGTGTGTGTGTGTGTGCGCGCATCTCAAAGAAAGAGAAATAAAATAAAAGACACACAACTTACACATCAGACAGACAGGTATCCACCTGAATCTGTCTGCACCGTGAGCATCCCGCTGTCAGGATGGCTCAGGCTCTCGTGTGAAACGTCACTTGAATCTAATATCTGACAGAGATTAGACGTGATCTCATGTGTTCGTTTCTTTCCCTCCGCTCAGCAATGCGCTTTAATTCAGCAATCCAGAAAACGCTGCTCACAATGGGGCAGCTAAGGATATTACAAAGAATGCTCACATTAAATGCTCTTTTATTTTTATGTTCTATTCTTCACATGGAAAAAGAAAAAAAAACTGTTGGGCAATTTGAATTCAGAACTGAAACACTTAAAGGCATCAAAGAAGAAGGAAAAAAAAAGTTTCCAGGGATAGCTGGAACAAAAAGACCGGCAGAGACTTAGCTGCACGTGTTGAACTCAGGAGTCTGCTAATCAGTTAAGTGAATACTAAACGCTGAGAGACGATGCGTCTTTTCCCTGCAGTTAATGATGATCGTTTGCAATAGTCGGGCTCTAAAACGCAGCATTTTCACTATGGAGTAGTCACAGGCTGAGATCAGACAAACTCACAAACAAAAGAAAATGTCGGGTTTAAAGAGTGCTGACGTTTTCTGTCATTCAGTTTGTGGTTTAAAGCCCCTTTGACTGACTGAGATCCAAAGAAAGCGCCAGTGCAATCAGTGCTTTTCTCTGGCCGCTTGAAGCATTTGGTTTAATTCTGCTCCGCTCCATCCCCCCCTATGTTTCAGCACACGGCCTGTAAACTTGACTGAGAGAAGGCTCCTACACTTTTCTTATTAATCCCGAAGGGAAATTAAATGATGTAGTCATTCAAACTCTATGAAGCCCAGTCTGTTCTCCAACTATTTATTTATTTATTTATTTATATTTTTTTTATTTGAATGTTTCCAGAAATGGAATGGAAACTGAATGAACTAACCCCACCCTTCTAAAGTAACACCATTTTAAAGCTAGTCCAGGCATGATCGACATGCGCTAAGCTGCTACCTCAGCAGATAGCCCCACTAAGAAACCAGCTACTATCAGCTTGCTATGCTTGTGTTAGGTAATGTAAGGTAATTTATTAATGCAGCACATTTTCAGCAACAAGGCAGTTCAAACAAAACAAAACCAAATATTGGTTCCCCAGGTATAATAAGAACAAGTAGTCGATAAATTATAAATTAATCGAAGTTAGTTAGTTAGTTAATTAGTCTATAAAAGGCAAATAAAAAGTATATTATTCTTTTATTGCAAAAAAAGAAAAAGTACTAAAGAGAACACATGTTTATTCCACATTTTAATTCATTCTGGACCGGCTTCTCGTGTTTCATTTATTGAGGAGAATTTTATAATGCTCAAAATTCACAGATATTTCTTGCTTTGTAAAAAAAACAAAACAAAACAAAAAAGCTCTGAAAGAAACTCTTCCTTTCGTGGGAACCAAATTATAAAAAGCAATCCATAAAAGCAGAAGTTGTCATTAAGCAGAGCTTTGTGACAAATATAAAGTTTTTGTCTAAAGGTGCCTGAAGATAAGTGGGGGAGAGTACACAGAGAAACTGAAGGCCCCATTACAGCAATTAAAAGCAGCACTTTAAAAACAGTAGTATTTACCCAGATCAGATCCATTGACTCTAAACTGGCATGAAGTCCTTAAGTCTATTAAACTTAACTGGACTGCTTAATTTCAGTACCACAACTGAGTCATCCTTATTGGTATCGCGCCCAAATGTCTTTCTGTCTCCAACATTTGCTTTATTCTCTTTAAAATCTTGCATCCTGTTTATCAGCGTTAAAAATTAGAAGCACATATTTCACCTGAATTTACAACTCAGTCTAAACTCACACTTTCGAAGAACAAAGACATTTTTATTTTTTTTTTTAACGCCGTTATTAAAATCCAAGTAACATCCTGTTCCCGTCTTTAATTCGCTTCTGATCAACAAACGGACCCATTATCTGTCCTGGAGCTCCAGGGCAGCAGCATCATTACCCGGGGGTTAATCTACGAGTGTCGTAAAAAGCTCGGCAGACTCGGGCCGGTGCGTAAAAATCTGATACAGAAATGGTTTGGCCAAAAAACCCAGCGGAACCCATGGCCCGAAAGTCGGTGACTCGGTTTAACTACCCTAATTGGTTTTCACTTTCACAGTGCAGGCATCACTGCAGCTGTGTCCTCCGCATGCATTTGATACAGACCATGTGTGCTGAAACAAGCCCTGCTCTTTAACAATCTTCATGGTAGTTAATGCTCCGATATAGCTGACACAAGAAAAAATAAAAAAAATTTTAAAAATGGAGCCTGCTTAAAGAAACTCCAGCTTTTGGGGGTAAAACACACAAAAAGGAAGGAACTGTTACTTAACTCTTAGTTAAATTTCTTGGACATTCCGTCAAAATGACATCGTGTCGGACCAGCAAGAGCCTGGATAGCAGTAAAACCCATCTCAGCAGAGATGGGTTTTACGTCAGCTCTATTTTTCTGGGGGGGTCAAACGTGCAGAGTGGGACACAAAGTCGCAGCTAGATACACATAGAAAGCAAATTGTAGCAATTTATTCTGCTCAGGGATTTACTCCCACGTCTTTCATCATGGAATCACTGTCCAGGGCCACATCGGGAAATAAAATTGTCTGGTGAAAGAAAAGTCAGAATGGAAACACGGACACACACACACACACAAAAACCCACTCACAATCTAAACTGTATCCCTTTTACACATCTGCTCCTCTTCCTTGTCTGCTCCGTTTGTAAGCTGGAGAAGCTTACAGTTAATGTCCATCTCAGCCTGTTTACAGGGGAAGCTATGGACTCAAATCAACAAGTGGGAGGGAGAAGCAACACGTCTGAGCGTCAACACGAGCGTCATCCACATGATGCGTTTTATTATGTACCAAATGACAGGATGGAGCTGCAGCCATGCACGTACAACGTGCCTTGAAGATGCGGGGGTCCTAAAAGTTTTGGGCTCTTCGTTATGGTTCAGTTTTGCTTCGTCGTCCCTTTTTGTTTGTCCAGTTCAGTTTGTTTTAGTCAGTTTTTAGAGTGTGTTGGCTAGTTTTTATTGGTTAAATATCATTTAGTTTGAATTAGTTATAGTAGTAGTTTTAGTTTCTTTCATACTTTTTTAAGTGCAGAGTGTCATCTTGGCATTTACACTACGAACCCACATGCAGAACACACTCGGGACGCGAA